TCTTTTTGGTTCTAATTTAGAAATTACCTCTTGTTCCATCTGAATCCTCTATTGGTGGACCATTTGCTGTTACAAGTGAAATAGTATCCAAACCTAACTGTTCCGCACATAGACTCTTGATATCATTCGCATTGGCAATGTCCTCAGTGATTAGCACATAAACCTGGCAGGTTGGATTCTGAATTTGGCCACCAACCAACGAAGCAAAGGTCACTTGAAACAACAGATCTGTTGAAAAAGCACACACATGGTGATTTAAGAGACCTCTTAAGGTTCTCTTACAGCACCTTGCATAGTTACTACTTTTAGACCTGAAAATCAGACAAACAAATATAAATTAACATTAGCAAATTCCTCACTTTTGTCTGTCATTAAAATGTCATATTTATCTGACTTCATTAAAATGACCAAACTCAGACAAACATTGCAAATTAGTCACTCTGACATCATAAGTGCGCAACACTGTTAACCCTTAACCAGCGATTTTTCACAAGGAAATGCCATCACGGTCCATGGGTCATTTGTCCATTTAATTTTCAATTTAAAAACAAAATTGAAAATCGATGTCAATTTTTAATTTTCGATTTGTTTTCTTCCTGTATAATGGATAAACATGTTTCATAACTCTTTTTACCATTTTACCCTGCAAACAAAAATGAGAAAATAAACACACAGCTCTTATTTACTACAATCATATTAAAACGATTATCGAACCATGGATATTTTAGCTATTCGCGGGAAAACCGTTTCCGCAGTCATCTGTTAACTACAATTACGTGAATTTAGAAAAAAAATTAAAAATTGAATGTTGCAATCAATTTTTAATTTTTGTTTTTGGACGAAGAATTGATCAATCGATCATGCTCTAAGTGACGAAAGTACCAAGAGGGGAGGACCCAAGTGCAGAAGTTTCCAGTAGGGGAGGGGAGGGAAGAGGGGAATGGACTGAGGTGGGGGAGTATTGTACTTGTCCAAGCTACATGCTACCCGACCCGAGTCAGTTGAAAACAAAGACGCCATCTTGAATTGCAAATAGGACACTATGGGGACAGGGGTCAGGGTTGAGTTCTCTCTTTGTTGAACCGCTGCTTTAACATCCAAACTAAGAAATTCCCAACCTTCTTTGTTGAAAGTGGAGAAATCGTACTTAAGCTTATGTTTTTTAGAATAATGTACATTTCGTTTCACTAGGTTTTACTTTTGACTAAAATAACTATTTGACTTTGGGTTCCCCCCTGCGTCTTATTACTTTGACAACACCCACGGTTTTTTGCACCTGCCTTTTTTTATCAAGGTTGTGTTTCGCCCTGGAAGCTCTTCAAGGTCCCAGCTCTTTGGTGGAAATAAACGGAAAGGTGGTGCCCTTGTGAAGGTTATCCATGCAGAAATGACCCAGAATGGTAAAGGATCTCCATCTTTCAGTGAGCTTGGGCAGACATACCTTAACATCAATGTAGATACAGCCAATGTCTACTATATTCTATCCAAGGCAAGAGATGCCTTCAATGATCCCTCTTTAGAGTTGGTGTCTAGTAACGGTCTGAGGATAATGGACAACAAAGGCACTAAAGGTTACTAGTAATATAGTATATTTGCATTGTTGTCTTTACCATCTTATAATTTATGTAGGTCTTGAATATCCACACATAATCATTGGGGTGTATTATCAGTAAATTTTTTTTACTGTTTCAAAAATCAGTCTGTCCCAAATATACAGCTGAATATTCTTCAAAGTTCTTCTATGCAATGTCACTTTTGTCCTGTACTGCGAGTTCAGTCGAAATATTAGACCCAGGGCACTAGGAAAATATTGGTCCAGTTTGTGCATTGTTAGAACTTTGTGAAGTCATTGATCTTCATCGTCATCAACATTGTATTAACTTGTGTCTGTGTTTTGTGTAGGTTTGTCTTTTTGGAAGTGTGGAAGCAGAAAAATTTATGCTGTGAGGGTCACTACACATGTTCCTTTAAAGGGATCAGCCAAGTCAAAGGCAAAAGCAAGTTACAGTTCATGTTATGACATTTCTGATGACAGTGATGAAGACTTCACTCCCAAGAAAACTAGAGGTGATAACGATGGAGATATTCAGATTGTAAATTCTCAAATAAATAAAGTCAAATCAATGGTCAGTGACATATTGAAAGTAAACCAAATTTTGTCCTTGCCACTCGGAGTAGTCAAACTTCTAAGAGATGCTTTCATATGCAAAATCTGTCTCTCCACACCTATGAAACCCCCAGTAATTGCATCAAAGTGTTGTAACAGCTTGATTGGCTGTGAGGAATGTAAAGGCTGTGATGTAAAGCAGGGAACTGTTGTAAATTTGAACATTTTATTTCACATCTTAATTCAAGTAAAACAACTATTTTCACAGAGTTTCATGAATGGTTTTGAAAATCATGATTTACCATTTCTACTTAGCAGATGTAACAAGTATTCAGTTTCATGAAAATAACCAGAGATGTATTGAAATCATTAAATACTGTGGTTGTTCTAACAGTAAGTTTGGATTATATGTTGTTGTTAGATCAATGAAATTCTTTAGGCCCTCTCTAAATGGGTGATGATCACCATTCACAAGGCAATAGAAAATGACCTAGAAACTAGGGTAAGCAGCATTAAAGTTAATATATAGATTTAGCCAGGGCTAAAAGCGAAGCTCCCATTAATAAATTTATATTTTAAATCAAAAAATAAACTTGTAATCCACAAATCAGTTAACTTAAGGGCACATTCATGTGACTTTTGAGGGAAAGGATAAGTTATTTTAGAGTGAAACATCTTACATCGAGTTGATAGCCTAAATATATGTACACCCAAAAAATAGCAAACATCTTCTATCACATTCAAGAGCCATAATGATCACAGTAGATTAGGCATCGAAAACAAATTCTTGGAAAACAAATCAGGCCGCATTTTTTTGCGTTCGACAGGTTTACTTTACAAATTCTTGCCAAC